AGCATATACGTGAAAAGGTTGGAGTAGCTCCAGTAGAATATAAGATTAGAGAGAGTCGCCTTAGATGGTTTGTTCACATAAAAAGGCGGCCTTCCGATGACCCGGTTAGGAGAGTAGAGGTATTAGATTTGACTTGTGTTAAGAAAGGTAGGGATAGACCTAAAAAGACTTGGTTAGAAAATATTAGGAATGACCTTTCTTTATTAGATTTAAACGAAAATTTGACTTTTAATAGGACACAATGGAGAAAAAGGATTCATGTAGCTGACCCCACGTAGTGGGATAAAGGCTTGATGTTGTTGTTGTTGTTGTTGTTGTACCATAAGAGAATTCAAAATGGTGAATAGGGGCTTTGATATAATTGACAAGGTCATTTATCTTTGACACATGCCTTAAGATCCACTTTCTATCGGAGTTAAACCACATGACAGAGGACAAATTATCATATCTATGTAGTACTCTTAGTAAATGAGATTTAAAGGCATTCCAAGCTCTGACGTACAAGAAGATTAAAAATGAAGGAATCTTGAATGATTGTTTCTTTTGTTTATGTAATTCTTTTTTAAATTTAAATTTGATGTTAAGTGATGAGGACACGAGCAGATTTCCAACCTTCAACTAATAATTATATCCCTATACTTAGGAAAGTCATAACATAGTTGAATAGAAAATTTAGATGTGTTTGATTCAGAATTAGATGATTATCAGACACCTTGCAAAATAAACTGAATTTTTGTTCTTCAAGGTTTCTAAAATTTGGTGAGATGTGTCTTCCACCTAAAGCATCAATCCACACAAGTGGTGGGAGGGAATGAGGATTTTTGAAGGAACTTCTCCACTTGGTGTTTGTTCCTTTAGTGATGAGGGAACAAAATTTTATTTAGTAGCATTGATAATCATATGCCTCTTGTTTTAATATTTAGATGAGTCAACCATAACCTACTTTCTAATATGATTTAAAGAAATTAAAGATAAATTTCCTTCAAGTGGAATAAACCTGCTATTTTCTCTAATAAAATTATTTTCAAAGACTTGACTTGTATTTGAACTTTAAACTTTTCTCCATTCGAATTAGCTAGAATATTGAAAATCTTGCATAGAATGGATTATGGACCTTGTCTTAGTAAACATATCAATCTACAATGAATATGTGATTGCAATATGTTAGAACAAATAAAAAGTTTTGATTTGAAAGTTTGATATTTTAGACCCTGCCCTACCACACACATCAAGTTACAAAAGCATGTAACAACAACATCTTGTTCAGGATATGGAGAAACTTTGATTTAGAGGTTTGAATTTTCTTAAACTTTGTCCTACCACACAAATCAAGATACAAAAATACATAACTGTTGTTGGTTAGGACGGGGAAAAGATTTTTAAAAAGGGACTCATACTCTGAAGATTTAAATTTTTGGACTCGATATAAATAATATGTCGAGCTACTAAAAGAAGTAACTATAATATACTACTAAAGTCTGTGCAATAATTTTATTTAAAATATTCAAAATTGAAAGAACTTTCATTCTTAGAAGATTATTTGAATTTTTTTAATATAGTTCTATGAAGAGGCATAAAAAAGACATCCCATCAATAATTAATGGGGGTCCTACAAGACCTCACTTTATAAATTTAAGAGATACCGACTAAATTATTCAATAATAAAATGAATAAAATAACAGGCCGAAGAAAGGTAGCCTTAACTTATGGCAAGTACAAGTATTCTACTAATATAAGGGCATGAATCACTGTTAAAGATGGAGAGAGGAAAAAATTCTCAGTAAAGTTGCCAAAAAAATCTACTGGGAAAATAAATACCACGTGGATTCGGTGTTATCCTATTTTGAGGTCGAATACTATATTAAGAGTAAAGTACGATCTCGAGAGACTGAAACTATATTCTACAATGGTTTCAATATTAAAATAGAGTTTTAAAAAATATTATTTCTATGGTCAAACACAATTCAAAGAATAAATTATCTTCTTGGAAGATGAACATGGGATTCTATAGAAAGTGTTTGAAAAGATAAACGAGTTTTTTTTATTCAGCTATTCCTATAATTAAATACACCAAAAAGAATGTTATATTATCTCGAGAGATAAACATAATATTTCATAGGGGATCTAAAGGTAATAATGATTTTTTGAAAAATGTGCTATTTCTAAAATTAAATACAACAATGAAACTATCATATCACCTTGGAAGACAATAATGACATTATACTAATGTATTTGAAAATAGAAATAGGTTTGAAAAAGAATATCTTTATTCCTAGAAAAAAATTCTCTATTTTAATTTGGAGTATTCAATTCTCTGTGAGGGCAAGCCCTTATGGTTAATTATATCTTAAGAGAGGTACTATTAAGAAGACTCTTGATTAAAATCGTGATTTTATACCCTTTGATTATAACATAGAAGATAAAGAAAGAAATATAAATTTTCTAAGGAGAAAGTTTAATGTTGAATAGTTCTTAGTGGGTCAAAGGAAAAAAAGTTTGAGGTGTCAGATTCTGAGAAGCTTAGAGGCAACCTCAATTTATCCTATTTTGAGATTTACATTTTAAAAGAGGATTTATTGTTCAAGTTGAAATTTTATCAGAAAACTGGGATTATATTCCCGGAGAGTTGAAAGATGGGCAAAGTTGATGCTAATTGATGCATTCAATAGCTTTCATTTTATGTTTATTTTGAAAAACTATTGTAATTTGAATATTTTTATGTTTTATTTTTGTTTACCAATGATGGAAGGCAACCAATGATCATGATTAGGTAGGTTGCTCATTGAACATGTCACTCCTTTGGTTTCCTAGCTTTTTTTGGTTTTTTGGGTATTTATATTTGGGTTGTTTTGTCTCCTATTGGGCTTGGCTCATTTACCCTTAGCTGTTTGGTGTTTGTAGTTCTCAGCTTTTTGTTTTTTTGGGTTGCCGTGCCTCTCCTTGGTAGCTATTTAGCTGCTGGATGCTTGGGTTCCTGGGCTGGCCGTGCCTTTTTTTCTTGGTTTCTGATAAGTTTCTTAGCTGTTCCGATTCTGGCTGGCTGTTGGGCTGCTTGTCCGTTCAGTTCTTGGGCTGGCCGTGCCTTTTTTTCGGGTTTTCCTCTATTTTGGTTGGCTGGTTTGGGCGGCTGATTTATGTGGTTGTTGATTTCCTTTCCCTATTTATAGGGGTTGTTGGCTGCTGTTGGAAGAAGTTGTTGAACCTTATTTTGTCTTCAAAAACCTGAGGGTTTTCTTCCAAAGCTTGAGAGCTTCTTCTTCTCTACTTATTTCTTCTTCTAAGTCTTCTACCTAGACTTCTCTTCACAAGTTACCCTTCGATTGTATCATTCTTCTACAAGTGTGATTGGTGTTATTGGCCAGTTTGTTGGTATTTGCCGGAGGAGTTACGACGGGTGTTGGATCTGGATTGTTGTGGTGGACCTCTAGTTTGCATGTTCTTAGATCACCTTATTTTCCTATTTTATCGTTACATGTGAGGTACCACTTGTTGGTTGTTCTGAGGGTATTTCTCTTTAATTTAAGTTTTTGTTGTTTCCTAAAGCTGTTTAAGTTTTTGCATCTGGTTGGGTTTTGTCAGTGGTTTGTTCAATTATTTTGGATTAAGTTGTGTTCCGATTTCTCTTAAGTGTTCTCCTTTGGTTTTGGAACTTGTGGGTTCCATCATAATTTGATGAGGATCTTTGTTATTGTCATCTTCTTTTTCTTTTTTCTTATGTAATATCCTAATTTCTTGCATAGATGTAAGGGAAATTGAAGAGGCGAGTTGGAGAAAAGAAAGAAGATGAAGGGACCAGTTACTAGCATAGTTGCATAAGACCGAGTATTGTGGTAGGGGTGGGTGTGGGGGTGGGGGTGGGGTTGGCGGTGGGGGGACTGAATGGAGAAAGAGAGGAAAGAGGTAATAGAGCTGGAAATCTTTCAATTTTGATTTGCTTCAATCAATAATCAAAAGAATAGCCTTGCAACTCCTATTTAAAGAAATAAAGTTTATATATCAACTAATTTAAATTAAAATCTCGATAACTCATAAAGATCCTGCATCAATGTCCAAATTATTAGAATAATAATGATTAAATACAATAAAATTGAAATGGAATCTAAATTAATTTGCAATATTGTAAAATTTTAGAAATAATCTTCTATTTATTGCATCATCATGACTCGCCTCTTCTGTCATGAGAATATTACTACTGTTTGTAACTGCATTAAGAATTTCTTTTTAGTTCTTGGAAAACTGTATTAAATATCCTTTTAGATTAAAATGTTAATATTATTTGAAAAATTGTGAAATGTTACCTTAATTTCTATTTTTTTATGTAAGATTTCAGAATCAATGGTAAGATGCATTAGGCATTACTATTTCTTGCAACAATTAGTCTGTCTTACAGAAGTTATCCGTAACAACTAGTAAAACTCAATGCATTACTCTGGAAATTACAGGTAACATATGAGACAGTTGGTGTGCTCTTGCTAAGATAATTATCAAATTGGCAGGAGCTCTAACATGGTTATAAAGCAAAACAAAATCCTGCTATGTAAATTCAATCAATTTGACTGCAATTAATTTTCTTCAATTTATCAAAGAAGGAGCTTATAACGTTTGGTAAGTGAATGCAATAATTCTTAAGTTACAATAATTCTTAAGGTAAATAATGTAATTGCACGTTGTACTATTAGAAAAAGGTCCAATAATTCTTTAGTTACAATCTCTTCCTTGAGTAGTCAAGGATTTTTATACCAGGACTTTAGTCATAAGTTACTTCCTATGGAATTAAAAAATTGCACAAATAGTTACAACTTTGTGTGTGGCATAATATGATTTCTAGTATGTTGAAGGAGACTTGCTATATTAACCTTGCTTTGTTAGCCATGTTGAGATAGCTTGAACTGTTTCTTTTGACGTTTGGTTTATGTTGAAGTTTCTTTTATTCTCATGCCATTGAATGAAGGATTTTACCGTCATAACCTAGCATGCTTGCATTTCTCTGCTTTGCTCAGGTTTTTTCATTCTACGATGGCAGTGTACATGCTGTTTGGAGAGCCATAGGGATAGAAGTTAACATCTTGCCAGTGGACATGAAACAAGGATTCACTATAGATTGGTTAGAGTAAGGAAATCAACTGATTTGTAAGCAACTACTAGATAGTGTCTACCATACTATTCATTTCACCTGGGATAACTTACCTTTTACGTTTCTTTAGTTGAACTATAAAAAAGTTTAAGCCTGCTTTAGAATTTCTTTTTAAATCTTGATTAAAAATGATTTTTTGCAGCTACAGTGGAGTTCTTGTGAGCGCTATCCAAGCCAGGCTTGTGATTTCATGGTAAATGCAAGTTCAATATTTCATCTTCCATTTTATAATTTGGCATTAAATTGAAGTTTCTTTTTCATGAGGATTTTATAAGCACTGTCATATTTGCTTTGGACGTTCTTCCTTGAAAATAGTTTTATTTTTTTCGGTGCTGTTCTTTACTAGTAATGTGCAACCTGATGATTGTCGGTTGATACAACATGCACTGATAATAAAGTGCTATAACTCTGACGTTTTATATTTAGTTGTTTTCACTTAGAGAAATAGCTCTAATAATCTAAATGATTTGCACTTCGTTATTCAATGCAAGCAAAACCAATGATCCTAGGTTTTTCATGAACTTTTTGAGTAATAAATTCACACGTTCCTGATCCTTTTTTAGTGTCTTTTATGTTGATTATATTTTTCAACAGTCAATGTAATGTTTGGAAAGCTTAGTCGCCTTTCTGCATTCCCGTCTTCCTTATTTTGTAAGAGACCCTCATTTCTTTTTAAGGAACTCGAGCCCTTGCCTTATCTAGTGGGCTAAGGTAAATTTCACTTGATCACTAAGAATGATGACAACTATTAGAAACTTATGAGCTTCACTTGTTAGGACGTTCTTTGATGTTAGTATGCCTCATCTTATATGCAGCATTACTTCAAATATCAAATGGCATTTTAATTATTGCATTAAAAGCCTTAAAAGTTAGTCCTATATCTTCCGCATCTGAATTGACTATTAGCGATTAAGAGGGGGATAAATTGAGACTTCTCAATTCAATCACATATAAAAGAAGAATCTTACTTTTGTGTACTTGGGAATGCGGTGAGAGGAATTCAACTTCTCATGTTGACTCTCTTTGAAAGATCTTTGCCGCATCTCATTATTAGTTTTTTGATAGAGAATTTGATACATTTTTTCATTGCTCTCAAATTTTTACTCCATATGTTTGATAATGAATTTATTTGTGCTTCATTGACCCACGAATTGGTCATCTTGATTCAATCACAAAAAATTCCTCTATTCTTGTGCTTTTGATTGTTTTGTTGTTTCTATTTTATATTTTTTTGCTGTGCTTGTTTTGTTTCTTCCGGGTTAATTTGTTTGACATTTTTGCCAACCCAAAGTGAGTTGATTTGGGCATTTCCATTCCAACAAACTAATATTAGAATAGTCAGGTTGAACTTAGGAGATGACATCATCTAAGCCTTTCACTAGTAATACCATACACATATCAAAAGCACAAAATAGTGCACCATGGCACATAGCATATAGTATGGCGCACTCCCAACATCATTTACTTGGCATGATTAATGGGTGAAAATGGTGCGCTATTTGTGCCAGTGGCTCATAGTGCACGCCATTTTAATTTTATAATTTGTGATCTAAAATTAACATTTACATTATATATATATATATATATATATATATATATATCTTATAGTTATGTTGGCAGAAATTCATTTTTTAGTTTATTGCCACACCGGATCCTCACTTTGCTGATATATTGGCTGGCATGCTGGGTGAAAGGAACTTGTCAGATCTTGCTCTAGAGGAAGAAGCACTTCCTCTTCTTGATCTTGGGAGAGGAGGGAGAGAGAGAGAGAGAGAGAGAGAGCAGCAAATCAGAAAACTATATTGCTTAAAACCATTCCTATTACAACCTATAAAGCCTCTATATATAGGCACAAAAGCAACATAACAAGCAACAAACATAAAACTAGGACAAATATCTAACAATTCTCCACCTTGGTCCTAGATTTACAAAAAAAAAAAAAAAAAAAAAAAAAAAAAAAAAAAAAAAGATAACTATTGTTCACAAAGAAATACCCTGCCGGTCTTCCCCGCCAATAGAGTCCACCGGACAGTTAATAATTTTCTCAAAAACTGCTCCACCATCTTCTTAAGTTTCCTGCTTCACCAGCTCTAGCTCCACCTCCAGACAAATCTTCTACTGTCGCACTGCATCCCACGCAGTCAATTCCTGAGCACCCTGTGTGCCTCGCTTCAGTGCCTTGTGCCCGCGCCCTGTGCCTCCAGCTTCGCTCTTGCGCCTTGCACTCATGCGGTATGACTCCGACCACATCTTACGCGTAACCACCCGCGCACCGAGCCCTGCGCCCTACTCATCTCAATCCCATGCCCTGCACTGTCGCGTCCTGCCAGTGCCTTCGATTTCAGCTATCTAGGGCAGTAAAAGAGGCATTCCGTGCTTGCGTGTCTTCCTTCGGTGCCCTGCGCTCCTGTGCCACCTCCTCGTGCACCGCATGACCTCACACCTCCTAGCGCCCCACACACCCGGCATTGCTCCTCAAGAACAGGCCAACACCTCAAAGATCCAAACCGATCTGTAATCAAGCACAATGATCTTGAATCTGCCGTGGTCCGCCTCTACTGATCCCATGACCGCACTCCACACGGTTTGCCCGTGAGGCTCCAACGCCCACGAGTCCCGTGCAGCGCCCACGAGGCTCCAGTGATCCGCCTACTGTTCCTACTCGCGATTGTGGCCTAAACCCCGCTACTGCATGCTCCGCTCGAACGCCTTGTTTCTGCCCTTCATGCGAAACAGAACCCAATCGCATGACCCATACCTTTACTCCTGATCCAGCCTCCTGAACGTGCCTTTCGAGTTTCGACCTCACAATCCGATTGTAACCTGCCCCAACCACAATGCCTCCTCGAGCTCGTCTGATGGCTCCAGGTACGGCAGCTTCTTTTCTTGATCGCTCTATGCCCTCACGCCGGCGATCTCTGCCGGATGTCCGACCCGTAGCTTGCGCTATAGCCTTCGAACGCAAGACAAACAAGCGGATGTCCGCCTCCTTGCGCACGTCTAAAGCCAAGCCAGCCGCTTCTCCTTTAGTGTATGTGCTCACGCACGCGTAATCTGCTCCGGTGACTGACCCACACAATCCTGAACTCCGAGCGGGTGACCTGCCTTGTCCCACGCACGAGCCCTTCACACCTGCTCAAAGCCAGCGACTACCGCGTGAAGAAGCCACGATCAGGAACTTTCTTGGCCTGCGACACTGGCAACCCGACGCTCGTCTCTTTCTTGAATCATTTTCTTAGGCAAGAAGCCCTCCTCCTCCACCTCCACCTCCACCTAGCTTGGTTGCATCCACCAGGCTTTGATACCAGATGTCAGATCTTGCTCTAGAGGAAGAAGCACTTCCTCTTCTTGATTTTGGGAGAGGAGGGAGAGAGAGAGAGAGCAGCAAATTAGAAAACTATATTGCTTAAAACCATTCATATTACAACCTATAAAGCCTCTATATATAGGCACAAAAGCAACATAACAAGCTACGCAACTAGCTACAAACATAAAACTAGGACCAATATCTAACATAACTCCTAAAACATTTTTCTGTGGTGTTAATTAAATATGCCAGGTGAGGGCATAGTAAGTGCTAATATGTAAGTAGCTCCCAAAACAGATTGGGATTTTAGATCTTTGTTTGGGTTTTCTTCAATTTATCTGTTGTACAAATCCTGTTGTTCTTTTAACTTTCTTTGAATAATCAAAGCAACACTTTCTTTGTGTGGAAAGAGAGTATTTATACAGTTTCACAGTCTTTTGCAGGAGCCTTTTAAGTCTATACCTGTCATATGGATTATACGAGACCAGTCCCTGGCTGTCCGTTTAAGTTACTATGCCAAAAACGGTCACTCTGGGATTCTTAATCAATGGAAGCAAGTTTTTAGCAGGACTAATGTTGTAGTTTTCACAAACTATCTTTTACCGGTAATTATTCTAATATTGTTTTTAATTTTACAGTTTAAAATGATCTAATAGTTATGTAGGTGTCAGATAGATAATGTTTTTGGTATATCATATTAGGGTCTACAATTTTCAATTTATCTTCCAGATTATATTTTCAGCATTTGATGCGGGCAATTACTTTGTAATTCCAAGTTCAGTTCCCGAGGCATGGATGGCAGATAATTTTCTTGCTGTACATAACCAAAGCAATTTAAGAATTAACACTAATTATAGTTCAGAGGATTTTCTCATTGTTTTAGTTGGCAGTCAATTTGAATACAGTGGCAAGTGGTTGGAACAAGCACTTGTATTGCAAGGTCTGACACAACTACAGAACGAATTTCGTTTTAAAAACTATTCTTATCCTATATTGAAAATTGGATTATTAAGCGGGAACTCGAGTAACACTTACAAAATGTCTCTGGAGGTAATCTTTTAGATGCATTCCTGTTTTTTATTATTTTAAAATATATTTTTAAATCATTTTCAGCTATTTTTACATTTTGCTTGCTTCGTAAATTATATGTATATTTTATATATTTTGCAGACTATTGCTTTAAATTTTGGTTTTCCAAGGGGCATTGTTCAACAGATTGGTGGTAGTGTTGACGATTGCAGTTTTCTTGGTATAACTGACGTCGTCATATATGCATCCTTTCATGAGGAACAATCTTTTCCACCAGTTTTGCTCCAGGCTATGAGCCTAGGAAAGTTAGTTGTTGCTCCTGATCTCGACGTGATTAATAAATATGTATGTTACTGAAGACTTACTCTGCAAGAAATTATGTCAGAATCTCCTTAACTTACATGGTTTACTAACTATACCGAACAATTTGATTATTAGATTGTTGATGGTGTGAATGGTTTTCTTTACCCAAAAGACAATGTTGGCAAGTTGATGCGGATTCTACAGGGTGCAATTTCAAAGGGTGAACTATCTCCTTTGGCAAAGCAAATTGCATCATTAGGCCAAAGGCAAGCAAGAAATCTAATGGTCTCTGAAACTATTCAAGGCTATTCATGGTTACTCGAAAACATCATCAAGTTCCCATCAGAGATTTCTCTTCCAAAAGCAATTGGGGAGATACCTTCAAAGATGAAAGAGGAATGGCAGTGGCATCTGTTTGCTAATCTAAGTGATATGGGCAATCTAAATGAAACTAATAGAAAGTACGGATTTTTTGATAAACTAGTGGAATGGAATCAAACTGATATGGAAGCTGATACTAATACCAGTTCAAGGTTGAATGAATCATTTTCCTCCATAAATTGGGAAGAAGAAAAGAGGATTGAGACGGCCAATGCTAGAAAAAGGTTAGAAGAAGAAGAGGTGGGGTGAGAAAAAAGTTATTTTCTTCCATACTATTTTGTAACCTTATTAGCTCGTTTTGTTATTATTCCAAAGATATCCAGTAATTTGTTGAAAATTTTCAGTTGAAGTACAGAACTGATCAGCCTCGTGGCACATGGGAGGAAGTCTATCGAAGTGCAAAAAGAGCTGACAGGGCAAAAAACGAGTTGCATGAAAGTGATGAGAAAGAGCTTGAGCGGACAGGCCAGCCTCTGTGTATTTATGAACCTTATTTTGGTGAAGGAACGTGGCCATTTCTGCACAACAGTTCACTGTACCGTGGAATTGGCTTGGTATGTTGGCATAAGACATTGCTCATCACTATTGGAGTATCATATTATTCTCTAATGTTTTTGTTTTCCTTCTCTTTTTTTTACAATTTGTACAAGTTTTCATAATAGATGAATCAATGTGGCTGAATTAGATCATAAATTATGTGAGAATTGTTAGAGGAAAAAATTGGTGTCTTATTCACTTGAGATCCCCTCTGTTTATAATCATTGACTGAATACACTAATCTAGGGTACATGCATACAACATACACCACTCTCTAAACATTGAGAACTTATTATTTTGTATAATCTTATGCCAACACTTTCATTCAAGATGAAGCATTTATATCATTTAGCTCAAGCTTGTCACATAAATGAGAGAGATAAAGTACCCAGAATTTTGGCAAAAAATATTAGTGGCTTGTAGGGGTGTCAATTTCGGGTTACGGTCGGGTTTGGGTCGAACCCGAAACTGACCCGGCACTATTTGGGTTCGGGTCGACCCGACCCGGTTTTGCAAATCTGGCCTGGCCTCGGGACGGCGCGGAACTGGCCTGGCTTCGGGAGTCGGGACGCGGCGCGGAACTGGCTTGGCCTCGGGACTCCGATGCGGACGTTGCGACCTGGCCTCGGGACGCAAGTTCGCAACCCGATGTGACGCGTCCGGGCAGGCGGGGCAGCCGGGAAGCGGGCAGGGTCATTCCGGGCAAGGGTTTGTGTGCATTCCGGGTCATTTCGGGTTATTCCCGGGTCAACCCAAACCCGACCCGGTTTTTCAAACGGGTTAGTTTTCAGGACCCGAACCCGACCCGCTTCAGGTTCGGGTCAACCCAAACCCGAAATTTTCGAGTCGGGTTTTCGGTTCGGGTCCAATATTGACAGGTCTAGTGGCTTTTTTTGAAATGGAAACATAAGTAGTGATTTTTGAAAAATAGAGCATCTCGAATGTAATGACAATCAAGTTTAATATGTTTGGTTCATTAATGAAGTACAAAGTTATTGGTGATGTAGGTAGCAACATGATTGTCAAAGTATAATATAATATAGGTTTGTCAAAGTATAATATAATATAGGTTGAGTAACTAAAAAATCAAATCGTCCCAAAAAGCCTTTACTCACATCATTTTAAAGATAGAATGGGCCACGAGTCTGTATTTAACCTTAAAATTAGATCTATTCATAACAGTTTGTTTCTTATTTCTTTAAGGACCATATTTCTCAAGTAAAAATACAATATCTAGAGGTTAAATTCCGATCTCAATTGAGTCAGCATTATTGTGAATGAAGAAAACTGGTATACCATTATGAAGGCATCATGTAACCCATTGGAAGGTCATGGCATTTGGAGAAAGGAAGTTAAGGGTAAGCCTTTAGCATAATATGCTTCATAACTTGGGGAACTTTGATAAGTTTGAGGTTTATAGGTTGGTTCTTGGATGAAAAATTAGATGGCTTAGGGAATAAAGGAGACTTGATGTCTTTGTAAGCAAGAAATAGAGAAGAATAAGAATAATAAGATGGCATACAAATGCAGGGGATTTATGTATTTCAGTTTTGTAGCCTATATCCATGGTGTAGTGAGTGGGATGTTTCTACAATGAAGAAAGCTAAAGATTCAATGTATAAGGAAGGTTCACCTCTACCTATTGGTAGAACTTTATGGGTGTAACCCGAAGTGAAGGGAAAAGTAAAGGAAATGCCTTTTTTCACATTTGTTAGTCTCAGCGATTGCATGGTCCTTTACAAATTCCTAAAGCTATACATATTTATAATTGGAAGATAGGATTCCAATTGACTATCCCAAAGGAGCCATTACAATTGCCCAAGATGAACATGGGTGGCTTTCATCCTTTAGGAACATGCAAATATGCTTGGATGCATTTTGTCTCTTGGTTGGCAATAATCAAAATATTGCCAACATACTCATAAGTAGGTGTTGATGTGTCAGGGCTTGTCGTTGATGTTTTGGCTGTTGAGTTGTAGGTGTCAAGCAATGATAGGAAGAGCCATTGACCGAGAGCTAGGGCGTTAGTAGTACTGAGGTGTTGGCCTCAAGACAGTTAAGTACTAAGAAGGCATGTTGGCATAGGAAGTTGTTAATGAAATCAATCGATTATAAAGTAGACAAGGAGTCAAATTGTTAGACAAGGATTGAGTTGTTACTTGCATGATAGTTGACAGTTCGAATAAGGGTGTTAATGTTGGAGTTGATAGGGTGTAAGATGCCAATCGAGAGCCAAATGTGCTTATAAAGAGTTTACCAACGCTATATTGTAGAAGACAATTGATTTGGTAGCTGACGGTGTTGAGATGTTGGTTGAAAGCTAAGGCGACGATCAAATTCTAGGGATAATGATTGAGAACCCATTGGTGAAACGAGGGAGAGGGAGTTGTGTCATCCTAGGAGCCGAGAAATGCTAGCAAGGGAGGTTTTGACAAAGGAGCTATTGGTTGGAAGATCAATGTGTTTAGGTAGATGCTCTAGGTGGATAATTCGGATGACAATGACTTCAACTAGGGAGGAGCTGAGGAGATCCAGTTTGCTTGGCTGGTTGAAGTGTTGTGCTGATGTAGTGGATCGTCGGAAGATGATACCTGCAAGAAGGATTTTAGGATTCCCAATCCAGGGAAGAAGAAGAGAGCTTTCTCAAAGCTTCAAAAGAGTGTTTTTATCATTCAATGATCTTTTCTTCTACAAGACCTCCTATTTATAAGACTAAAAGAGCATTCTAGAAAGAAATGACAACAAACTAGGTAAAGTGCTCCTAAGGAACCCTCTTAGCTTAAGATGCACCGCATCAACCAACCTATTGAATCAATTTTTTAATTGAGTCGACTCGATTTGGTTAAATTTAACTATTTAGTTTAAATTCAAATTAATTTTCTACTCAACCAAACTTGATTCATTTTAGTCAATTATTTGATTTAGTTTAATTGAATTAATTTGTTCGATTTGGCCTTAAAATTCTCTAATTTGAGTCATATTAAACTTATTAAATTCAAATAAAACAAAGTAGGCTTCTATTATCTTATTTTGTTTGGCTCTTACCCAATTCAGCCTTCAAACACCTTTCTTTGGCCTTTTACAACCTTTCCAAATGAAGCTTTTGAAGATCCAAAGGCTGGAGATGCACAACATGCCATAGTCCTTGCTCATCTTTTCTGCCCCATTTCATGATCTTCTACTTTCCTTAGGTACCACAACCATCAAGGGTAGTAGAAACCCAACCTAGTCGTTTACCCTTATCCACCTGTGGTTATGGTGGCCTTTTCATCGCTCTCCCTAGCTGCTTGAAGAAGTGGGCTCAAAGGAATTGAGGAGTTTTTCGTTTTGTCAGGCTAGAGGCACATAGAGAGGGGATAGATGGGTTCAGGCTTTTGGAACATGGGTTTTGCTTGCACGTTCAAGTGGTATTCCCAATCCTTTCTCATTCTTTATTCCAAACTGTTATCTTTGTTTCCCCTCCATCTGCGGAGACATCCAACATTGGGATAGTTTGAATTTTGGATTGTTTTAGTAGCATTCAAAACATTAGAAACTCGGCAAGGAGGCAGTTGGGGAACCCTTTAGCAAAATTTTATTTATACTTGATGAAACTTCTGCATTTTGCTTTCCATCGAACGATAACTCTAATGAGGTATTTTCTTGAACTTGGAAAACCCCAAGTCTATGTGCCATTGGATTTTGTGTGCATGTAGCGAACTCATTCGACTTTAGGTTTGTTTAATTCATGCTTTATTGATGCTCCTTTATCCAAAATCCCATTATCTTCCTTTTCAATTCATGGAGATTTGGTGTTTTTTATTGAAATGTCTTTGTTCAAAAGACGAAGGAAGAAGACGGTACTATCTCCATTCATTCCCGTGTAAGGTGGACAAACAACTTGATCTTATTGCATCATGAACTTATGCATTTATGGACCTTAGGTTCATATTATAATCAAAATTATATTAAAATTAATCTAATGCATAGGAACCTATTATTTTCTTAGGTTTTCAATTTTCTCAAGTTTATGGTTCAAGTTACATACTTTTTTAGAATTGATTAGAAATCATTTATGAGTTTTCAAACATTAAAGATTACTTAATGAAGTAATTACTTGCCTTGATTTTAGAAAATCATTAAATAGGTTTATTTAATCCAAAACACTTATGAAATTAATTTGGGATATACTATGAACTCTCAAAAGTCCATGAATTAAATTTTATCTTATTTTGAAATTATATAAGCCTATTTATATTTTTTTTAAATTAAATGATTAAATGAAATAATGATTAACTTAAAACTTTAAAAATTCATAATTAAATATGAAAATTAAAAAAAATGTAGAATCAACTTCTATGTGCTTTATCTAGAATGAGCAAAGGCAATCATTTCCACCTTTTTCTTCAGAATTTGTGCATAATTTGATTGGGAAACTAGCTCCTGTTGTGATGGTGATTTTGGGCATTTGTTATTCTTTCCTCCAATCACTAATTAAAATTACAAACATGTATATTATGCTATCTCGATAATGATGATGATTTGGAGTTTCATGTAGGGGTCAGCTAGAAATTTTTTTTGGCGAACATTTTAGTCAAGAATGACAATTATGTTCTTAAGCTGTGATGGTGATTTTGGGCGTTTGTTATTCTTACCTCCAATCACTAATTAAATTTACAAACATGTTGTCTGTTATGTTTTCTCGATAATTATGCTGATTTGGAGTTTTATGTAGGGGTCAGCTAGAAATTTTTTTTGACAAACATTTTAGTCAAGAATGACAATTATGTTCTTGAGAAAAATATTTTGAGACAAAATAACTTGTAATGAGTTCAAACAAAACAAGTGCAGTAATTTAGATAAAAAAATGTATAATAATTCAGCTAAGATATGGACATTTAGTATTTTCTTAGCCCAACAAAAGCATGTTTTAGGTCTTGGATGCGCTCATAGGATGCTCGTGTTGCGGGCCATGTTTGGTAGACCCTCAGATGGTCACAGACAATAACAATTCATGCTACTTTCATGTAAAAAAAGA